TATATCATTTTGACTGATTCATGGACGATCTCCTCATACATTTATAATCTACATATGAAAATCTACAATAGAAGGTATACAATGAATGTGTGTTACCAGCCTACCGCTCCCGTATCGATGGCACGATATAGTCAATAATAACGATAATTCAAAAGGAGGAGCATCTCAGCATCCAAAGGTGTGGGTTCAAGTGCACCTCCCTCGCTCCTTCTTTGCTTTCCTCCTGACCTTGAAGGATAGGGAGTATGTTCATACCTATATAACATGCACTTCGTGAAAAGTGAACATTTCATAAAAACTGGACCGGAGTCAAAAACTTTACGTTGATTTTTTAAAGAACTGGTTTCAGGTCTGTCACACAGGATATTCATTAGCCATTGTCACAAACACCAGGGCGTAAACATATATTCTTGGTCAAGCAACGAGACAGATGTAACAAAAAAAAAGCAAAACAACATGTTACTGGTAATACATCCAACTTGCGGGTCCGCTTTGCATAAGAAAACCTCTTTTTTCGGTCGTCATATTCACAAGTCCATAGTAAGTGAGGTAATTCAACAACATGCTTATCGAAGGAAAAGCAAATAAGCAAACATTTCAATAACCAAAGCAAAATATGAACGATTGTAAAAATAAATTGCAAGTACACATAAGAAAACAATTTTCCGTAACAAATTATGCTGCATTTACAAAAAAAAATTAATTTCAAATGTGCGGAGGTAAGGAGCACGAGCAATAAATGTCATAAGAGATACAATAATAAATAGTAACATTGCAGTCTACTTTTTCGAACTCCTAAGTGAGGCAAGAGATACATTTTCGTCCTCATCATCGTGTCCATTAACTGCGCCTATACATGCTGTAGTGTCAATCTTCTCCAAGGTCTTTGTAATTGTGTCTAGAGTATTTGTAAACAGTTCTCAGTCTGCTTTCAATCAGAAGTTATAGCACAAAACTCCACAGCCCCATGCAAAAGTTTGTTCTATCGGTCTACCTGTCATACGTCCTCGTGAATCCGTATAGTTAAATGAAAAATATTTACCATTTTTATTTTTCGCATACCAGTGGCCTATAAACTTCTGCTCCTCTAAGACTCGTTTTACTATCACTATGCAATAAGGCTTTTCATGCTCCTCTTGGTCTCTCCTTGCCCTAACAGCCACAAATGCACCCTCCTTTAGGTCCTCGAAGCCTCCTCTTTGCTTATTAACTCTAAACGTCATTCTATACCCAACATACGGTGGCCTTTCAGGAGGATTGATATCTCCACGTATCATATCAGCGTCTGCAGGTCTGTCGGTCGGCATGTTGGAGCTGTCCGAAACGGAGGAGTCGCCACATGGCCAAACAAATGGATGTTGCAGGCAGGTTGTGTCGAAGTCCATATTCTCTTGTTCAGTGAGAAAATGTTCTCACCATGCAACTGCCTCTGTATTGGTATATTTGGAAAATGCTTTCATATTTTTACGTATTAGCGCCAATGATAAAGTTTTATCGATACTTTTTTTCTCCTCGGAGGCTTTGATCCGCTCATCCATGCTTCGCACAACATGACGTGGAGCTGCATGCACTCTTCCGTCCGGAAATGCCTTGAAGATATCCAAGCCATAGGTATCTTGCGGGTGCCATGACGATGTACAAAACTGCCTACTCCGAACAGCAACAGTTCCAGCAACAGTTCCAACAACATTTCTCTTTATACGAAAGTGTTGATTGAAACTGATATCATGAAGAGGTGTCAAGCGATCCTTCACATAAGCTTTCCAATCGTAAACTTCAAACACCCGCTCAACATGGACACCTGCATATTTCGTATACGACTGTCTGATGACCGTCTCCAGTGCAGGCAGATCATAAGCATTCCTACGCGCAAGGGCTCTAGAAAAGCAGTTGAACATCTGATCAATATTCTCATGTGTGTGACCCACCAAAAGGAAGTTGAGCTTGATTTTCTCAAAAACCTTCATGTGGACTAAGTACAAAAGGTAGGCCAAAACTAACTTGTTTTTGTTCTCTCTTGATGTGTTGTCGAGAGTCAAAAACAACACCTTCGGCAAAGGTCTTGGCAGATCCGAAAGAACTCTATGAAGCACGGTAAACATGGAGTTTGAGTCATTGCTAAAGTTGTCGAACATCATCATGGCGTACGCTCTATGCAGATGTCCTTCCACCTTTGCACCCACGACACGTACCTTCAAGAAGTCCGCCTCCCTAATTCTCAAATCTTTCGGAACACGATGAAAATGAGGAAGATTGGTCTTGCTTTGATCCATCCCGACAATAATAACGGCTACATAGTTCTCCGGTGACGACTTCGCTTTCAGTCGGCGGTCCATCAGTTTCTGTCTCTCCATCCTCTGCGCTTCAAGATGGTAGTCCAACATTCTTTGGAATTCCTCTGCAGCAACAACAAGAAAGACAAAATATGTCATCACAAGGAGGCAAATGGTAAAACCGACAACAAAACAAAGAAATCCCAAAACAGGGTAGAGGAAGACGAGGGCAGTACGCAAAATGAGATGCCCACCTTTTTCGATGGGCGAAGTAGCTCTCCCACGTTGCAGCTTTAACTGCGCACATTGGGCACAAATGGAGAATATGTTCTTAGCCGGGATGCAAACCTTCAAGCAGCGTTTTGTCCACATGCTTGTAAAGAATGAAATTGAAGGGACCATATCACCAGGATACAGGCGGCGGAAATGAGCGACGAAAAATTCATAGACTCTGCTCTTTGTTAGGCAATCGGTGAAATGGAACCTATCGGTGTTTGGCATGGACTCCGTGTTCATGCTGAAGTAGGTCTTCATCCACACGTACACAGCCATGTACCTCACAGATGGGCAACGACTTCCAAAATTGTCATGCACATAACCATGCACGTCGTCACAAATCGTGGCACGCACCCTAGCAACTCGCGTCTTGGATAGTCCATATAGGCGGCCCCATGCATTCGACCAGACAAATCGACTCGCGAAAGCAAGACGCAATGTCAGCAGAGTGCCATCAGCGATGGAGAGCCGCACAGGCAGAGGTGGTTGTAATGAGCACACGTGCCTTTTTGTTGCAGACACGTCGATTTGCGTTCCTCTTGCCGAGAATGTACTGATGCTTACGCCCGAATTTTGTGTAATTTTTTTTACCCTCACGCCCAGAAACGCCATCACCATAGCTGTCTCCATCGCCCTCCGCGGTACAACTAGAGTCTTCGAAATTATTAACGTCAGTTGAAGGCGGAAGATCCTTAAGCTCGAGGAAAGAGAAAACAGGGATGGCGTCGGTCTGCAAGGGCTCGCAGAACACTCTTCTTCTTTCAAGTACCCGCGGATCAGAGAACAGACGTTTGATCCGTTCCACGTCCACCGTAGCTTGGTCATCCATCGCGAAGCATCGATGCACAAATTTGTCGTCAACAGCAAGGCAGAATCGCCAAGCCCGTCTTGACGACAACAAGAATCACCAGACCACGCACGCGAACCCGTCCCGTCACAACGTCCAGTTGATAAATGAAAGAAGGAGTGAGGACCCGACAAGCGTGAGACAGAAGTGAAAAAACAGTCGGGACCCGACAAGCGTGAGACAGAAGTGAAAAAACAGTCGGGACCCAATAGACTTCGGCCAGTGACTTCCACGCACCCGCCCACGAGCACAGAAGGAAGTCGAAACCGCCTGGCGACATGTCCCTAAACTCTTTGCGAAATCCCGCCCAAGCAGGAGGGAACCTCGTCAAATTTTCGCGCACTTTTCACGAAGTTTTTGGCACCCGAGTTCTAGCCGAAACCGGAAGGCGAGGCAAACGGACCACGCACGGAAAGCGCGCCAGAGGATGACAAAAATCCCAACCAATTCATTTTGCAACTTCGGGACCCCCGAAGAACACGTGGAGGACGCACGGAGGCGACAAAAATTTGTCAGGCCCCTCCTTACGATAGCAAAAATCATCATCAGACCACGCACGGGACACCGTTCCGACACAATGGCCAATTGACAAGCGGAAGAAAGAGCCGGGACCCGACATGTGTGAGACAGGAGTGAAAAGAACAGTCGGGTCCCGGCAAGCTTCGGCGAGTGACTTCCAGACGCCCGACCACCAGCACGAAAGGAAATCGAAACCGTTGGGCAACGTGGCCCTAAATATTTTTTGAAATCCCGCCCAAGCCCGAGGGAACCTTGTCAAATTTTCGCGCAATTCGCACAAATTTTCCCGAAGCCCAGTTCCCGCCAAAACCGGAAGGCGAGGCCGGCAGCAAGGGCACGCCAGCGAACTACCCACGAAAAGCGCGCCAGAGGATGAGGATAAAGCCAACCATTTATTTTGCAGCTTAGGGCCCCTAGGAACACGTGGAGGACGCACGAAGTCACCGGCTGAACACTTACACGGCGACCCCAAATCCGCAAAACACAAGGATTTCAGAAGGGCCGATCCGAGGTTTCGGGCATGGTTCGAGTCACAACGATGCACGGTTTCAGACGGGACAAGGGTACACCGCTGCACCGTTTCAGACGGGATCCGGCACCTCGAACAAGGCGGCACACTGCTGCACCGTTTCAGACGGGATCCGGCACCGGGACAAGGCCGGCAGCAGTGGCACGCCGCTCCCCCTCCACCGCTCCCCCTCATCGCCACGGGAACACAAGCAGGCCGCGAAGATCACCACCGAAGCCTAACACCAGCAGGCCGCGGCCCGGGAAGGCTTGGGGCAGTTTCAGTTCGGCCTGCCTGTTTTCCCTGCTGTCCCAAGGTTTCTTAAGCCGCGAAGGCCACCATGGAAGGCGAAGAAAGGCAGGCCGCACGAAACTGCCGGAAGTCGCGCCAAGAGGGAAAAAGCGGCGCCAAGAGGTAAAAGGCGGCGCCAAGAGGGAAAAAGAGGCGCCAAACCGACAGCAGTTTGAATTCGAACGGGCAGCGGGCGACGAGGGAGGACCAGCTGCAGCGCGAGAGCTTGGGTGCAAGTGGGAGATCCTGTAGCAGATGCGGGGAGTCTAGAACCGGGAAACAGCAGTAGCGCGAGAGCCTGGGTGCAAGTGGGAGAGGAAGGTCTGTGGACGCGAGGGGGAGGGAGCACGAGCGTTGCCCGAACAAGCGCCGACGAGGGAGGAGCAGCTGCCAGGGAAGGGGAAGGAAGCCATGGCCGGAAGACGGGCGAGAGGACTGCTAGACGTCGAAATGGACGACGGGGGTACCCTCGACCTCTCCCACTCGCTGAATGCCATGGCCGCTGGCAACGAGGGAGCGGAAGACATTGAAGACGAGGAGGAGGAGGAAGAGGAGGAAGAAGAGACTGACGGCTCTGGGGATGAAGAAGAGGAAAGGGACGAAGAAGACGTGCAGCGGAACAAGGAGAACCATCCGACGGAGAACGTGTCCGGAACGGCGAGAGTGAACTATCCGCTGGCGTTCAAATACCTAGAGGAAACATACACGTCAACGCAAACACTTTTTGAGATGAAGCCGGACTTTGATCTTCTAGGGTGTAAGTGGGCTTTGCAGCCCACACAACAGGGGTTGTTCTTCTACCGTTATCTGACGAGGGCATGCAAATACGAACCTGTGGGTCTTTGCAATTGGGTTGCGAAGACCACAAGAGTTAAAGACATACAAGAGGTCCACGTGACGTATCTATGGACAGAAATGAAGAAGGTAATCGCGAGATATGTCCTACAAAAGAAAGACTACGTATGGGATGCTTTCCAAGACCCGAATGGAGTACTGCATCACAAGCTCCAGACAGCTCCCGACGAGGTAAGACATGTCATCAAGTATATGATCAAGATTGATTAATTCAAACAAGATGTTGTCTTCTGTAGGTGTGTTCGCGACGTGATTTCCGATTGGAATCGATTACGTAATCGATTCCAATCGGGAATCGATCGGAAACGCGTGTGGAGGGGGCAGTGATGCAGATCACTGCCCCCTCCACGCCCGTTTCTGATCGATTTCCGATTGGAATCGATTACGTAATCGATTCCAATTGGGAATCGATCAGAAACGAGCATGGAGCGGCAGTGATCTGCATCATTGCCCCCTCCACAAGCGTTTCTGATCGATTCCCGATTGGAATCGATTACGTAATCGATTCCAATCGGGAATCGATCAAAAACGGGCGAGGAGGGGGCAGTGATGCAGATTGCCGCTCCTCCTCCGCCGCTCCCCCCCCCG